AAACAGATTTTAAAAAATACATTTGTTCCACCAAGATAATTTTTGCTTAAGCCTCTTGAGTTTGAACCAAAGCCTGTTCATACCTTGAATCTCATCAGTAGGAAACAGAGGAGCTTCCCAGTTCTCTTTCACCGTATGCATAAAAGTATCATCCAAAAGCCACATATTTTGAAATCTAAATGGTTTAAAGCTAGAAACATTCATATTGTTAATGCTTAAAAGTAAAGGAGAGTGATCAGATAAGGTACAAGATAGGTGAGTAGTATGAGTATTAGGAAAAGCAGTTACCCAATAATTGTTGAAAAGAATGTGATCAAGCCTTTGCCACATAGTACCTCTGTTCCAAGTGAAACTATTACCAGAAAAAACCAATGTCATGCAAATTGCAAATCCTAATCAAATCATTAAATTCCTTCATGGCTTTTAAATCAGGATGCCTGCCACCCAGACGTTCAGAAACATTTGTAATGCAATTGAAGTCACCCCCTACTAACCACGGAGCATTAATATTAGAGGAAAAATCACTAAGCTGTTCCCACAGATTAATTCTCCCAATTCTAGTACAAGCAGCATAGTAAAAGATGCATATGGAGAAACAGAATTAAAATTAATACTAGTGTGAATCACTTGAGGGAAATCTAATATAACATCCAAGGAAATGGACCGATTCCAAAAAAGCCAAATCTTGTTAGAACAATTACCAAAGCAAAAATCAAAACCAAGCTTTCTCTTAACATAAACAAATTTATCCATACGAACTAAAGGTTCAATTAAAACAAGTAAATGGATGCCATGAATCTTACAAATATTTTTCACTCTATCTTTCGATAGAGAACCACCCACATCTCTAATGTTTCAAAGAATGGCTTTAACCATTAATAGAAGAGTTATTAGCTCTAGTGACCCTAGGGGTATTGGTAATATTATTTTTCTTATTTTTCCCCTTCTTCTTAGAAATGTAAGAATCACCAACTTCAACAACTTTATCCTTACCAGAGGGAGATGCCAAAGAAATAGAAGAGTCTTTAACTTCTTCCAAAGGAATACAAATTTCAATAGTACCAACTTCCCCTTCTTCCAATTCAACATCTTTTTCCCCTAGTTTAAACTTGGACAAGTTGCCCTTACATTGAGAACCCTCTTGCCCAACACGACCAAGGCTAGAACCAGCAATATTTTCCACCACCTTAAGGGAAGAAGAATTCACATTAGCATCAGCCTCCCTAGAGGACTTAACATTTTGCTTCTTCTTTTCAACTAACAGCTCTTTCTTTTCACCTACTTCCAAAGTATCTCCTAATATTTCCTCTCTATTGTCCATCTTATCACCCTCTTCACTCCTTAAGGAAGAATCTAAAGACCCCGTTTCTATGTCATCTCCACATTGATTAGGATCATCACCGTCGGGTTTCGGTTCCTCTAAAATAGTTTCAATTTCCGTATCATTATTTATGGGATGTTCAACCACCAACACTTGCTCTGAATGTTCATGTCCAACAATCGACTTAGTAATCTTAGAATTTTTTTTTTCAGTTGAGGATGCGCAACAAAACAATCTGAAATACCATGACCATGTATTTTGCAATGTAAACAAAAATCTGGAACATTTTCGAATTCAACTTTTTGAAGATAACCAATTTTTTCCGAACCAATCAAAACCACTTTTTGATGTTTCTTAGTAATGTCAAGCTCAACCAATATTCTAGCCACTGACGGCCTTGATCGTGAAGCAGTGGCCTGGTCGGTCTGGAGAGGTCTACCGAAAACAGAGCCGAGAGCATGAAGAACGTGAGCATTGAAAAAATGTAAACGCAAATTAGGAAAAGAAATCCATATAGGAACTATAGGAGATTCTTCTTTGACATCAAAATAAGGAGTCCATTTTGATAATCTCATCTAACAATTCAGAATATAGTAAGACCTTATAGCAAACACCCTGCTGTAATCCAAATCATTGGATAACTGGATAGAAACATGCCTAGGATTAAGTAAACTTATAGAAAAATTACTAGAAAGTTTCAGTTTGCCAAAAAAGTTACGAATTGCATCTAGGTTAGGTCTACGAACCGTAAATTTACCAACAAGAGTAAACTGAAAAGGAGATGCAAGTTTGATAATATCATCATCGGATATTAAAATCGCAGGAAAACCTTTAACTGTAGATTTCGTAAAAGAGAACACGGCATCTTTCGATTGGCTCGGACCAGCCAAAACATCACGAAAAGATCGCGAAGAAGCCACAGATTTACCATTATCTATCATACCTTTAGTAGATCCATGCATCCCTTGGGGAGGAACACCCCAGACATTAGCAAGAGCAGACGGTGAGTTCGTCTCCATCGGAGAAGACGAAGCCCCGCAGCCCGAAGGCAGAAGACGGGAAAAAAGGGATCAAAATAGCCAAATAAACTCAAACGAACTACCGATCGAAGGAACCTGTCGGAGAGATCTGAGACCTGAAGTCGCAAAGAAAATCGCCAAAGCAAAGGCGGATAGGGCAAAAAAAGAGTTGATTACTGACCAACATTAATTATAGAGTTCCAATGATAATAAGGAAGGTGCCCCTTCATAATTCATCTTATATCCATTAAATTGCTAGCATATATATATATATATATATATATATATATTCCCTAAGAAAAGTCAAACCTTTTAGATGTTAAGTTTAATATTTAAATATTATTAATTCTTTCTTCATGAGTGGGCTTTTATAATAGGCGAATGTTTAAATATTTTCATAGTAATAGCTAGAATTATGTTTTATTTGTCAAAAATTTTAGTATATGATTGTATGATTTTGTTGCTATTTTAAAAACTAATTTAGCAAAAAAATTATATAAATATAAAAAAAATACTAATTAAATAAGTATAATTATAAATAAATTATAACTATATTTTGCAATTCACTAAAAAGTAAGTTGAAACTTTTAAATTTCAAATAAATAAATAAATAAACTTTTAAACTCAAATTATATTAAAATATAAATTAAAATTTTTAAATAAATTAAAAAACATATTAATTTAAAATACTAAAAATTATTTTACAAATAAAAAATAATATTTGGAATATATTTAAAAATATTTTAAATAAAAATTTAAATTAAACCATCCCCCAACAAGCCTCTCTCTCCACCAAGGCGGAGTGAGTTTAAACTATTAATCTTGTTCTTAAGGGTTTAATTTTATTTCATTAAAAAAAAGAGTTACAAGTCTTTAGAGGGATCAAACACCCCGTAAGTACTCAAAGAGCTACAAGTAAAAGAACGAGAACAAAACCTAAAGAATAAAAGATCCCTATCTAATTACGAAAGGGTAAATAAAATGCAAAGATAAGCAAGAAGTCAAACCCAAAAATAAGCCCAAGCTTGACATATTTTAAGATCAACCATGTAACAACCAAAAGATACCTGCAAAAAATAATAGAGGCCAAAAAAATCAACAAAACCAAAGCAGTTATACCAAGAATAGTCCAATTATAGCTCCATCAAAAGCTGAAAAGAATACTCTACCAGCTACACTACTCTCCATAGCTACAAAAGGCACAACACAAGGAAGAGAAAAACTAACACCTGGATAGACAAATAAAGCTAACAGAGACATGAAGGAAAAATTAATTTGGAATCCTCCACCAAGATAAAGGCAAATTATTGCATCCGGTCACCGGATGTGCAGAATAGGTTCGGACATCCAATAAAAAACATGGCACGTCACCCGCGCTTTTGACTACGCTTTGAATGCGCTTTAGCCTTTAGGTGCGCTTTAGGTGTTCTTTAACTGCGCTTTGCTTACCTCTACTTTTGACTGCGCTTTTGACTGTGTTTTGACTGCGCTTTTGACGCGCTTAATTTAAAATAATATTTTATTAATATTTTGACCTATCTCTGCGCTTGGTGACCGGATGCAATAATTAGCACAAGATAAAAGGAAAAGGCACACATCAGAAAAGGATCAAAAATAGAGGAGCCAAAATCAGAAAAGAAGAAATGCCTGAGATTACAAATAGCACCAAACATCATACAGAGTACAAGACATAAATACACTGAAAAATACAAGATAATTAGCCCAAAAAAATAATTAATGAATTATTAATCTAGTTTTCTTTGATTTTTCAGTAATTGCCCAAATTTTAATTAATGAAATTGATTTTGATATAAGAAATTATTCATGTAATAGCATACCGTAAGAGCATCCTTGTAAGGTTGAAACTTTGAAATATGAAAATCAAGCAAATGACGTTAACCATTACATATTTGCATGTGAAAATATGAGAAGCGGACGTTGATAAATTGTAAGATTTTTATCATCTTATATTTAATACTTTTTTAAATAATAAATTCAAAAAAATATATGATAGAGATTAAAATAATAATAATAATTTAGGCCCCGCCAGAAAAAAACTTTCTGGCTCAGCCTTGCAAGTTGCCCAAAGTTTGGGCTACTTGCTTCCCAAAATAATTAAATAAAAAAATTCATAATCCTAATTTAAATATTTCTCCTACTCCTTTCGTAGTTCTCCAACCTAAATAAGTTAAATTATAATAAACGTTAACAGATAGAATGGTAATTAAGAAAATTCAAATTTTCAATCTTTCCTTTAATTTGAAAAAAAAAAAGTTTTCTAAAAGCAAAAAACTGTAAAAAAATAGAAATAAAATTGAGCTGTTGTTTGACCGAATTTTAACGATAAATTAATTTGAACAAATATTGAAATTTTAATGATAAATGCATCAAACAATATATATTTGCAACTTCATGAATGGACTATTCGGATCAGGAATCTAACGCCGAATCAAACGCAGCATAAGTAATTAATTATATGATGATGATCTACAGCTTCAGAATATAAGCTGGATGCCACACAAAAATTCCAACGCAATCTACGACAAATGGTTAAAGCTTATATAAATCTATAGCGAGAGAGAAAGAGAGATAGGCATTGTTGGATGCATGCAGAGACTTGATCGACTGCCTTAATCGGTAAATCAATTAAATCCCATAACATGCAGGCTTTGTACAACCAAAGCCTCGTTGAAACCACCCCCCATGCAACACTCCTACCCTTCCCTGTTCTTCTTCTCCTCTTCCCCCTCCTCCTCCTCCTACCTTTGTATTACCAGCGGTTCCGCCACCACCCTCGTCGTCTTGGCAACCTACCAACCCCTCGCCGCTTACCAATCATAGGCCACCTTCACCTCCTCTCCTCCCTTCCACATCAATCATTTTACCGCCTTTCACAGCGCCTCGGTCCCATCTTCTCCCTCAACCTCGGCTCCATACCTTGCATAATCGCTTGTTCTGCTTCGGCGGCACGCGAGTTTCTCAAGACGCATGACTCTTCGTTCCCCAACAGACCCTTCACCAAGGCTGTCTCCATTCTAACATATGGCTCCTCTAACTTCTCCTTCGCTCCTTATGGAAGCTTTTGGCGCTTCACAAAGCGTCTCTATATGCTGGAGCTCTTTAGCAGTAGAACACTCGAGCAATTCCGCCCGATTCGTCGAGAGGAGCTGAGAGAAATGCTCGAGGAGTTTCATCGAAAATCCAGGGAAGGTGAGATTGTGGACATAGGCGCGGAGATGACGAGGATGACTAACAATGTAACCAGCCGCATGGCAGTGAGCCGACGTTGCTCTGGGACGAATGCGGAGGCAACAAGGTTGGTGATGGAGACGACGGAGTTGTTAGGGAAGTTTAACGTTGCGGATTATTTATGGTTTTGTAGGAATTTGGATTTGCAAGGGTTTGATAAGAGGTTGCAGGACCTGCACCGGAGGTTTGATGGGTTGATGGAGAGAATTATGGTGGAGAAGGAGGAGGAGAGGAGGAAGAGAAGATTGGCTAATCAGAAGGACGGGGAAAACTTCAAAGTGGTAAAGGACTTGCTTGATATATTGATGGATATATCTGAGGATGAAGGAGCTGAGATTAAGCTCACAAGGAACAACGTTAAAGCTTTCATTCGGGTTAGGCTTTTTATTATTATTATTATTCCTTAATCTCTCTCTCTCTCTCTCTCTCTCTCTCTCTCTTTATATATATATATATATATATATGAAATTTGTTTTAATCTTTCTTTTTATTTATATTTTATGCTCAAATATTTTTTTAATTCACAGGACATCTTCACCGGGGGCACGGACAACACATCATTGACGGTGCAATGGGCGATGGCCGAACTCATCAATAACCCAACATATATGGAAAAAGCTAGAGCCGAACTCGATACCGTTATTGGAAATCATCGATTAGTGCATGAGACTGATATTCCCAATCTCCCTTACCTAAAAGCCATAGTAATGGAAACACTTCGTCTCCACCCGCCAACCCCTCTAATACCTCGTGAGTCAGATAAAGATTGCACGGTTGATGGTTTCAACATCCCGGCTAAGACTAGGCTCTTCATCAATGTTTGGGCCATTGGTCGTGAGGCTAAACATTGGACAGACTCTCTCAAATTCATGCCAGAGAGATTTATGGATCATGAGGAGAACATTGATATAAGGGGGCAACATTTCCATCTGATACCATTTGGGAGTGGAAGAAGGGGATGCCCCGGAATAACAGCAGCACTTCAAGTTGTCTATTGTGCCCTTGCGTCATTAATACAGTGCTTCGAGTGGAAGGCTGCTGGAGGTGGCAAGAGAGTGGACATGACAGAATCACCTGGATTGACATTGAGGAGGGCTACACCTTTGTTGTGCATCCCGGTGGCTCGTCACACGAATTTGTTACTGATGTCATGAAGTATAAATTTTGGCGACGTGTAAGAAACAAAAGTATTTTGTGTCATGGTTGGGTGGGATGTATGGTAAGATATATAAGAAATGTATAGTTGATGATGTGATAAGTAAGAAGCGCATTGTAGATGCGATAGGTGGAAAATGAATAATTGAGATTATCTTAGGTAGTTTAACATTGTGTGGTGTGGATGAGTTCTCAATTTATATAAAAATCTCTTCCCTTAAAAATTTATATATTAAGTGAGAAGCAACACTACGGGAAAACACGCGATTACCGTCGGATTTTCCGGCAGAAAATTCTGGACGGTAATAAACGGCGCAGGCACCAGTGGAATTGTTCGACGAAAAGTTTGCGTCAACATTTCCGCAGCAAAATACGCCGTAAATTTACCGACGCCGGTTCCGCCGGCCAATCCGACGGTATAGGGCTGTCTGAACCATTTCCGCCGAAACGTGACCAAAACCGGCGTACGGATTTCCGCCGAAACGTGCGCCGGAAACTTATATTTCCGTCGGAATATCTATGTTTTCCGGCGGATTTCGTCCACCGGTAATATGCGGTTTTCCTGTAGTGCAAAACTTCTAAGAGAGAAGAAAGAAATATGAAATGAAGCAAAGCTTTTAAGAGATTTTCTTATTTGAGCTTGATAGTTATATTTTGAATTAAGTTATGAGTTTGCCTTTATAAAATTTGAATTTACGTGATAGTATATTTTATATGCCATTATGTCTTCAATGTTTTAAATTTATGGATTTTGAGAGCATTGATCATGGGAGGAAAAAAAATTGCAACTTCATTCATGTGTGGTTCCAAACATAAGAACCTTTTTTTTTAAAAAGTAATATTAATTATATAAAATTAAAAATTTAAAAAATATCCAACCATCCGTAATCTAAAAATTTTATTTTATTTATTGCCTAAGCACTTGCAAGGATCTAACCATACATTATTAAAAAATTAAAGCAATCATAAAAGTTTGTGCTCCCAAAAGATAAATACTAATACCTAATTATAGGATCCTTTAACAATATAAGAGTAAGGAAATATAAGATTGTCGAATCCAAAATTTTATAGATATTGAAAAGGAGAAGTTGTTTCTTGGCACTATCTATTGGCTTTTAGAGGAGATATTGAATTAGGCACATAATAATATTTTAAAAATATGCTCCTCTAAGGAAGCTCCTCTATATTCCATAATTAACAAGTGAAGCTTTTAAAACTTTTCAAGTGGAGGATAACATTTTATAAGCAAGTGATTAGCTATAAAAGAACTCGTGGGAGAGATGACTTAAGAGAGAGAATAATAACCTTTGAAGAAATGTTTGCACTAGAAGAAGGATACTTAGGATTCAAAAATCTCCCATATTAGGAAATCTATATGGCACAATCAACAAAAACCCTAGCTTAAAGTTTGAGATAGGATAATCAATAGGAGGGAGGTGGAGGCGCGCAGGCCATTATTGTCTATAATAAGATTAAGTTGAAGGAGTTGCTTCAATAAAGAAGATAATGGTGTTTATTTCTAATTAACTGCCCTCATTGTATAGAAATTCCTAAGCATCTAAAATCGTTCGACATTGGACATATAATTTTAATTTAAAATTAAAGGTTGTTCATTGTCATGTTTGAGTCAATTTTGTATTTACTATTTCAATTTTAGTCTCACTTAATTGAACTTATTTGGTCTAACTATAGCTCAACTCAAGTCTTCTTCATCTAAATCAATTTAGACCTATATATAAGGTGAGCATAACTCAATTTAGATTCATCCACAAAACCTATGCGATTTATCCTTCTTACACCCACCTTAGGCATTCTAAAAACTTGGTCAACATAAGTTGTGGCATAAAGACTTCATCTATCCATTAAATCCTATAGTTATTGAAGACTTTGCCGAGTAACCAACACCAATTACCCTTTAGCCTTCTCGATAAGACATCAAAATCATATAGCTGGTGGCTATTTTTGAAGTCTTTGAGTTCGCTTTCAAGTTAGAGGCACCAAATACATGAAGAATCTCCCAAGTCATCATAGCCTTCTCTACATTAATTTCTCATAGTCGATGATTGTATAACAACGTACTTTCATATTGGCTTCATAAGCAAATGAGATTAGTTATCGAATTCTTTTCCTTAGTTGTCAATATATTTTCATCATTGGTGCTTTAATTTTAGCTTCTTAAGCTAATGGAATTAGTCATTCATTGTTATCTCCTCTGTCGCCTAAGTCAGACCTCATTCCTTATGCCTTCTCTTTTTTGCCATAAAAAGACTCTTGGAATATTCATTTACCTTACAATCAAGGGTCTGTAAGAGGAAAAAAATATCCTAAATTTCCTCTTCATCCTAGAGTTTTACTAAAAAAAAAAAACTCTTTAATTCGCTTCCTCATATGTAACTTAGTGAGCATTTTCCTTCCATCCCTTAATGGGATTAATAAAGAAGGAATAACCACCCTTCATGACCACTCTTGTCCCTTAGAGGCTAACAATTATATGTCAACTCTTTGTCTTCAACTAAGGACCTACCAATGCCTCCATCATCAATTCATTATCCAAATAAATATTCCATTTAAAATCCATAGGATTAATCATTATATCTATTGAAATAGGTTACTATTAAAGAAATAATGGGCTTCTCCTTTAACGGGATGATTCATTGCATCTCATGATGCAACTTATTTAATTCTCCCAATTTGATAAATTCTCCTAGTTAACCTAATGTTAACATCTAATATGAAATTAACTTTATAGTTGATGGCCTAGATCTTCATCAAATTTAATTCTACATGAGGTGTTTTTATGGGGGAGTAGTCTTTGGCCTTCTCCTTACCCATCAATCAACTGCCTTGATATGTTGTTGGTGAGTTATTCGTGACTTCCCACTAACAACTTACAACCCCTTGACTTCATAGTCGATGACTTACCTTAACTTGATAATTATGATATTGAGTACAATGCTTGAGTGTGTGATGTATTCAAATTTTATTACTCTTACAAGGTTGATAGAAGTTTCCATCCATCATCTTGATCACTAACTAAGGTAAAATTACTAGTACTTTTTCCATCTTTTGATAATGTATAGTGGATGAACACACTCACACATGCATTTTCATACTTTTCCACCCTAGTGTAAGATTACTTACAACAAGTAGTTAGGCATGGTTGGAGTGGCCGGCGAAGCATGAAGGAGGGAATAGTTATGGTGGTTACTTAATATTGGCGCTCCTCCTCCTTTCCCAATTTTCTTAAAATTTCAATTATCCTTATTATTATTTGTATTTAAACTTTTTTTAGGGAGTAAAGTGTTTAATTCATTTTATGACTAAATTTGGAGTGAATTCAACTAGTGGCTTGGCTTGGTGGTCGTCCAAAGGAGAGGGGTTTGGTGATCTTTTTCATCCAATTATCTTGGTGAGTTGATTGATTCACTACAGGAAAGTTAGGTATTTTCGCCAAACAAAAGTAGAATACGATATAGGGAAAGAACTATGCCAAATAGCCGCAAAAATATGGGATTTATCCCCAACATTCCTAAATTTCTCCCAAGTTTTACTCAATTGAAATTTACCATTTGAAGAATCCGAGAACAGGATTCTATCATTACAGTATAGAGAAACAACCGCAAAACTTCCAACGCAGCAGCAAAATCCACAACAACCCCCAAAACTTCCAACGCAAAACTTGCAACTCAATTTAAATTTCTCCCTAACGTTTAAAATAAACTATAAATTTATTAATGAATTAATTTAATAATATGTCGGAAAATCCGCCTGAAAAGCCGCCAGAAAATCCGTCAAAAAATCTGTTTGAAAATTTGCCGGAAATGTTTATAAATAATCTGTCGGAAAATCCGCCGGAAATTCTTCTGCCGGAAATCCGTCGGAAATTCTGTCGGTAATGAGTTTTCCTGTAGTGATTTTATTTTTTTGGTGTTTTGTTAAAATCTTTTATTGTGATTTTGTTAGTCTAAATCTCTAGATTGTTCTAAAAACATATTCTCAAAAAAGTACCATAAATATCTCCACTTAAATGCAATTATAATATTACAAATGCATATTTAATTTTATAACTATCGTGATTTCATCATGCCACCAAACTAGTCAATATCAATTAGAAATTAAATACCAATAGGAAGATAGATGATTTAGTTTTTTAAACTAATGAAAATTTAACAAAATCTAACTTCTCATTTTAATCTTAACTACTCAAGTTCAAAATTTAAGTGTTATGGTTCAAACATGTCATTTTACTTGAAACCCCATTGAAATTGAAACCATAAGAGAAGAGTACTTGAAAAATCCTAGTTTTCACATAGAAGATAACCTTTTAGAAATATCTATAAGAATGATCAACCTAAGAATCATGAAATATTGATTGAACCCCAAAAGAAGGTTAAGCTATGTGCTCTCACATATGATGGATTCTATAACCCTAACAGATTCTTAGATTGGATTGCACAAATAGATGAATTCTTTAATTGATACCAAATAGATGACTATCAAAGAATCACCTTTACTAAAATGAAACTTATAGTCCATACAAAAATAGTTATTTTAACTAATATTTTAATTAAGAAAAAAGGTTATTATGACACCATCTTACTTAGGTAGAGATAAATAAAATGGTAAGGGCTAAGTACTATCCAAGAAATCATGAAAAAAACATACATAATTGATAACCATTAGATAAGGAAATACCCAAGTGGTAGAATATATGAACATATTTGAGGATTTATTAGCTAGGAGCAATTATATAGATCATGAGTGCTAGTTAGCCAATAAATTTTTTATTGGTCTTAGGAGTGATATTTAATATGAGGTTGAGTTATATGACCCTCAAACCTTTGAGGATGGTTTCATTATGATTTTCTCTTATAAAAGCATAAAAAGGTAGCATCTTCATCTATATCCAGAAGTTCAAACTCATCCTTTCAATCATCCTCTTACTCAACCCAAAGGTTTTTTGTTAAACCTGCTCCTACACCTTCAAATGTCATGAGAA